TTTGATTTAGAGCGAGCTAATTAGAAATACGTGATTTTCCAAACATAACACCAAAATACAAAAGACCATTTCTAGTTCATGGACACAGAATTGTATACATATCTCCAGTGTGGTTTGCCTATCGGATGAGCTTCAAAAATCATCTACCCAGCGTTCGCTTTCCAAACGTATCACCGAACACTTACCAACATGGTTTTACAAAGGAGAAAAAACGATGCCCTCCGCAGCTCCATCTAAGAATCCGGACACCAAGCTACACCCCAAACAAACTTCAAAGTCTTCTACAGAATGCGAAGTGGCTTTCCTAAAGGTGTACGAATCAGACTTCTTCAAACTGCAGAAGCAATGGCGATTCATTATGGATAAGATTTTATTTTGATAAATCACAGTGTTGTACAGTTATATTAACTGATGACATTTCGAGCACAAACTATTGCTCATAATCATATCAAGTTACTTACACAACTTTGTTCTTTCATTTATATACATGCGTAGAACCGATTAGATATTGGATTAAAAATCAATGTGAGATAATGTACATTCAGAAATACTAGTACGAGTGTTGTTGATCAATTGCAGTTGATTTATCAAATTGCTGTCTGATTTATCAAAATAAAATCTTATCCATAATGGAGTTATAGTCTACCACAGTGCCCAAGTTTTATACTTATATCAATGGCGATTCACTTGCTAAGTCCTGAACTGAATCTGCAAAATTCACCCTGAGGGTGTCAGGAGATGCCACAGCTAGTTCACGAGGATTAGCTGGCGTAGGGATAGCTTTGAGTACTAGGGCAGAAAAGACATTGCTTGACTGGATCCCGGTAGATAGCCGAATGTGTGCTGTCCGCCTGAACGGATCAGTAAGAAGGAGGAAGGACTGCACTACTCGCCGATGCCTTTTCGTAATCTCCGCCTACGCCCCCACTGACTGCAGTTCAGATGAAACGAAGGATGAGTTCTACCAAAAGCTGTCTAGTTTGGTGGAAAGGCTAAACGCTCAGACATAGTCGTTCTAGCTGGTGACTTTAACGCTCAAGTAGGGAAATTGTGTCAATCTGAGAAGGATGTCGGTGGCACCTATGGAGTTCCGTGCCAGCGAACCGACAACGGTGACCGTCTCCTACAGTTCTGTTCTGATAATCATTTGTTTCTTGTAAGCACTAACTTTAAACACAAGGAAAGACACTGTTTGACTTGGAGACCCCCTTCATCAAACCAACGCTGGACACAAATAGACCACATAGCAATAAGCTATCGTTGGCGTGGGTCGGTAGGAGATTGTCGCTCCTTCTGGAACACGTGCGTAGATACCGACCATGCACTGGTCCGCGCTCGGGTGTGCTTACGACTGAACGGACGTAGGAAACAGCTGGCGGTAAAACCATCACGTCCCCAGCTCGATCAGGAAACTAAATCCGTATTTCAGGAAGAACTAGCTAAACACATATCTGTGTTCGACAGCTGTGCTCACCCTGAAGAAGCTTGGAAAAATATCCAGGCAGCCATAGATACAGCTGTAAAAGCTGTGAATAAGGTAAACCCAAAGGTGAGTAAAAACCACTGGATCTCCACCGCCTCATCCGAACTGATAGATGCTAGAAGACTTATTCCGGCGAGCTCCGAATTCAATGAGGAGCGAAAGCTGCACAAGAGGAAACTTACGAAAAGTCTCCGCAAGGACCGTGAACAGTGGTGGGCGACAAAAGCCAAAGAGATGGAGAAAGCTTTGAGGATAGGCAACACCAGGCAACTCTTTGGACTCATCAGGGAAACGGGTGGGAGAAGACAAATCATTAGTGAGACAATCTCGGAAAAAAATGGCACTATAATTAGCTCACAGGATAGACGACTGGATCGTTGGAAAGAGCATTATGAGGAGCAGTTTAATTTGCCCACAGCCACGCTCAACCTTCCGAGCATCCAACACCTCCCTGAATGGGATATAGACACAGGTCCTCCGTCACTAACTGAGGTTACTAAAGCTGTCACCAATCTGAAACTAGGCAAAGCAGCGGGACCTGATGGAATGACTCCAGAGGTATTTAAGTACGGTGGAGACAGCTTACTGTCCGGATTAACTGAGGTACTAGGCAGCGTCTGGGAATCAGAAGAAGTCCCATCGGGTTGGTGTAAGTCACTGATTATCCCCATATACAAGAAGGGAGACAAGTCTTCCTGTGATAATCACAGAGGGATTAGCTTGACTAATATAGTATCTAAAGTCTTAGGCTCAATAATCATGCGTAGACTGAGTGGTGCTCGGGAAGCACAAACACGAGAGAGCCAGGCAGGCTTTAGACCAGGAAGAGGGTGTATTGATCATATCTTCACCCTCCGACAGATTCTAGAACATAGGCATTCCTACCGGCGTCCAACAGTCATTATATTTCTTGACCTAAAGGCAGCATTCGACTCTGTCGATCGGGAAGTTCTCTGGAGATGCTTGGCTGTAAAGGGAATTCCAAGAAAATATATTGCACTGATTAAGGCACTCTATTCGTACTCATACAGCCAGGTGAGGGCTTACGGCGAGCTGTCATCTGAACTGATGACGACCAGTGGTGTCCGTCAAGGATGCCCATTATCTCCTTTTCTATTCAACTTCATCATAGATGTGTTAATGGACTTAACCCTAGGTGACTTCAGCGACTCAGGGATTGACTTGCTACCGGGGAATAATCTCGTTGACTTGGAATATGCAGACGATATAGTCCTTCTAGGCGAAGACGCTGACGAAATGCAGAGTCTTCTAAACACCTTGAGCCGCAATCTACGAATGTTTGGCATGCGATTCGCTCCCGCCAAATGCAAGATGATGTTACAGGACTGGACTACATCGACGCCTAGTTTAAAAATAGGAAGTGAAGTGGTAGAGCACGTTGACCGCTTCACTTATTTGGGAAGTACCATCAGCCCCAACGGGCTGATCTCTGACGAAATCTCAGCACGAATACAAGGGGCTCGTTTCGCATTTGTTAGTTTACGCCGACTCTGGCGTAGACGAGATGTTCGACTATCGACCAAAGGGCGGGTGTACTGCTCATCAGTCCGCTCCGTCCTCCTTTATGGTTGTGAGACCTGGCCACTGAGAGTGGAAGACATGAAAAGACTAGCTGTCTTTGATCATAGGTGCCTGCGTTCTATTTCCCGTGTAAAGTGGCATAATAAGGTGAGCAACATGGAGGTTAGGCGTAGAGTTCTAGGTAAACAGGGGAAATCAATCGACGAAGTCGTGAAGCTACAAAGACTGAGATGGTTAGGACATGTGTTACGTATGCCAAGCCATCGCCTCCCTCGACGAGCAATGTTAGCGGATATAGGGTCAGGCTGGAAAAAAGCTAGCGGCGGTCAAACAAAAACTTGGCATCAGTCAATGAAATCCACAACAGTTGGTCTAAGCCACGTAGGAAGGTGTAGACTTCCAGGCTGGGGTCCTCGGGACGGTAAAAATCTATGGTTGGAAACAATTGGTGACATGGCTCAAAATCGTTCTCAGTGGCGCAGATGCATCCACTCCCTGTGACTTATGATCTTCAATGAAACTGTTTTGTATTTCTTTATTACTCCTTTGTCTCACACCTCTGCTCACTGTTTCTATTATGCTTTTCTTGTACTTTCTTCTCTTGCTTCGCGTGCTACACGGAATGTGGCGACTTGAACTTCCGCACATTTGTGCAAAGTTCTATGTCGAAAACAGACAGACAGACAGAAGTCCTGAACTCTGTATACAGAGGAAGTTCTTCCAATCACTACACTTGCAATGGAAGTCATCTATCTTAGTACCCGACAAGTAAACTCTACCTAATCTTTTTCTTTCTGTCTCTTCATTAGTATTATTTCGTCTTCTCAATCTTGATACTTTACATTTTCAACTTTCCTGTTCTCCACCCCCACCCGATCTAATTTCTACACTTCATTACCACTGTTACTGACTTGACCAACGCTCAATTTCTAGTCATTTATGTTACATCATCCAACTTATTTGCTCGATTTCAGTTCTAATCTAAATGGCATTATTCTCTATCCCATTTCTACTTATTCTCTACCTGTAACTACCTCCCCTTGCTATCCTGACCTAAGTTGAAACACTTTAGTCAATTATATTACATCATCTAACTCACTAACTCAATCTTACTTTAGCTGCTGTCTGATTAACCTTGTTTCTATATTAGATCATTCTTTTATTACCTGATCAATTATCTAAACTTGGCAAACCTCATGTACACACACATACACACAAATAATTATATATAAATGCGATTGTACAGTTAGCTATATGAATGGATTCACCGAAAAGAGTCTCTTCGTTGAACGTCTTCTCTTTTTCATCTACTAATATGACTACACATGAATGTTTTGCTTTTTGCAGGAGAATGAATTACTTTTGCTATAATTACTTATCTACCTCATTCGACTTTCAGACACTGGCATTCGACAGTGACAACTCATACGTGGAAATGCACTAGTCGGATATCTAGCATGAAAGCAAAGTCAAGTAGGCAGTCAGTAGAAGCTAATTGTTTGCAAGTCAAATAATGACGGCTTTTTCCTTCAGGTTTTTATATATCATAAATTTCGAGAAAGTTATCACCCTCCCCTCTCTATGCTACCCAAAGACACGTATTACAATCAGCAACCGATGGCATGAGTATAGAGAACTACCATCCCATTCAATGTATTTTTTTTAACTCATGTTACGCTTATCACATTTTCAATTGACTTCTATAATCCTTACGCAGTTATTAGTTTTGAAAGATTTCCGTAAGTGCATTTAACAAGGTGGTCGCTTCAGGTTTACAGAAAAACTTGGTATCACAGTGTGTTTTGGTTGATGTTTGATGGTGTGGAAAAGTCAATAAGACAACTATGGTAAAATCGAATCTTTTATCAACTGTCTCCAACTAAGCAACTACAGTAAAATATGAATCACCAAGAGGTAATTTCCAGAAAATAGACAATACTTTTAATGTTATCATCATCATCATCACAAAACTCACAGTCTCATTAGTTGATGTCATTGGACCGGAACGTCGAATAGTAGCTTTCTCAGAGGTAACATTACTTGCAGAAGTATAATTCAAAGTAGTAAGAGGGATTGTACGTGTCGGTTGATTCATTCTAGACACAGTATTGATTGTTTGACATCGACGTATTTGTAAGTCAGTGAAAGATAATACACGACCAACTTGAACAATGTCGGTTAGATGAAGAGTCTAAACAAGACCAGAAGAAGGCAGAATAATGTGATCAAGGCCCTCAAAGCATCTTCAAGCTTATGAAATCAAAAAAAACCTAATTATAAGAAGTGGATATATGGATTACAGGTTTAAACAGTCTGACTATAAGCCAATGGGGCCCAAGGTTCAAATCTCGCTTCACCTACTCAGAATGCATAGTTGAGTGTGCCTTACAACCAGGTACGAAAAATATCTGTTCTCAGTAGAGCAGAGTTACTAATTACTAATTGCAGAAAGATTAGCCAATATTCTGGTGACGTCAAACGAAACAAAAGACGACAACAATGAACCCATGAACTAGCAGATTTTCGGATCAATTGTTATCACTTTCACAGACGACATTTTTACCGACATCATTATAAGAAATACGTGAGAATTTACGCAAAAGTAGGTTCAAGAGTATCAACAAATATCGAAACTATTACAAATTTGTGAAAATGTTCTAGATTTAGGAAGCAATACCTAGACATTTATACAAAGTGATTTGTAACAATCTTGATGACCCTTTGCAGGAAATTTACACCTTACAACACTAATCTGATCCAGATTAAAAATTCTTCATTGATTGATGGCATGAACCTTCCTTAACTCAATATCTTTCTCCGTAATGAAATGTATACAACTTTCGTCAACCATGCCCTATCCATGCACATGAGTAAAAATATCTAAACGTGTCATATTTTAAATTATAAGGCGTATTAGCCTACTGAACTGATTCAACTACCTGAGTCTCATCAGATACACGTCTGATAAGCTCACTCACACACGAGAGAAACTGATGTATACTGTTCAAACTACTTCCAGTTGGCTAGCGAACGCTACTGGTTGATGTGAGTGGCTTCTGATTATTCAAATCAATCAATAGTACATAGTATTATGCACTTTTCAATCACCACGAGTTAATGATTTTTTGCCTGATTGTTATTATATTATTATTATTTCCTTGAGTTCCTAGAGGAACATACGGCTTCAGCCGCACGTTCGGTTCTCTGCCAACGTTTTCACCTGGCTCCACGACTGCCCACATGCTTTCGTCTCTTCTTCGCATGCCACTCTCGGACAACCAACTCGCCACTTTTCATCTGGGCTCTAATCGAGAGCCTGGTGTGTGATGTCGCTTGATGGTTTTCTCAGAGAATGGACAATCCACCTCCGTTTCTCCCTGCATATTTGTTGCACAATTGGTTCCTGCTGGGTTGGCTCGCTCCCAGAGATCCCTGTTGCTCAACTTTTCTGGTCGGTCATCTGATCTTGAGTATTGAGTGAAGACAGCTATTAATGAGGGTCTGTAGTCTGTTCTAAGTGCTCTTCATGACGCGCCAAATATGTTTGATCCATAAAGTAGCACTGATTTCACATTGGAGTCGAAAATCCGGATCTTATTTTTGATGCTGAGTGCTGTTGATCACCATACGGACTTGAGAGTAACGGAAGCTTGCCTAGCTTTCACGATCCTCGCTTTGATATCTTCGCTGGTTCCACCAGCCTGTAGTTGAAGCGATGCTTCCGAGTTAGGTAGGTTAAGGAGGTTGCTTCTTTCAGATTCCTCCATTTATGCTGATTGCTGTCTGTTGTTGTTGTTGCTGCTGTTAACCAGGAATCTGCACCACCTCTGTTTTCTCTATGTTCACCTGAAGGTATATCTTTGATGCTTCTCCTGCTTACTTGTTGCTTTTCTCTTGGATACCATCGAGTTTGTGGGGAATCAGACACATATCATACACGAAGTTCAGATCTTGCAAGTTTTGTGTGGGTCAATTTTATACCTGTTTCTGTGCTGCCCGCTGTCTGTTGCATTATCCAGTCTATCGCATTCAGAAAAAACATTGGAGATAGTAGGTAGCCTTCCTTGTGTAACTCCGGTCTGCACTTCGAAGGATTCCGTGAGTTTCCCCTCGTGGATTACTTGGCATGCAACATTGTCGTACAACAGCTGGATGAGATGTATAATTGTTGGCGGCACCCCATAGTAGAGAAGTAGTTGCCAAATCACCTCTCGATCAATGCTGTTCGATATATTTTTATTATTATTCCCTTGGTTTCTGAGTGGAACACATAGGGCTTCAACAGAACATTTCCATATTACTAGGTTCTCTGCAGTCTTTCTGAGCGGGCTCCACTATTGTTTGTAAGCTCTCACTTCCAACTCACTTGATCTCTCCCATGTCACACTCAGACACCCAAACCACTACTTCTCACTCGCGTTTCACTCGACAGCCTGGCATATGATTTTACTTCAATGTCTCCTCAGCAATCCATCTTGATTTCCTTCTACATATTTGTTCAGCGATAGGCTTTTGATGGATTCATTGTCTGCCAGAGTTCATTGTTGCCTGTCACTGCTGACCATCTGATCTTCAGTTTCGAGACAGCAAAGGTATGTGTTGGATGAAAGTCTGTTGTGACCAGTTGAAAATGCTTTTTTTCATGCGTACGCCAAGTCTCTCAACCACATACAAGTACTGACTAACCATGAGATCAGTGCTGAAAAATCAAGTCTTGTTCCATATGCTGAGTACAGCAGACTTCCACATTGATTTCAGAGTGTTCAATGTCTGTCTTGCTTTTCTGGCCTTAAAATCCACATCCGTGTTCGTTTGTGGTTGAAATGAAGCTGCCGAGATTAGGGGAAGAGCTGACTTCGTCTAGATTTCTCCCGTTGATAGTGACTGATGCTTATTCTTGTTGATGGTTAGATATCTTCGTCTCATCTAGGTTAACTCAAAGTCCTGTATTCATCTCCTCTTGGTTTTCGCCTGAAAACCTAGCCTAACCTATTAGTCTAGTAGCTGGTCCTCAGTCTAGAAAAAGAGGGGAGGTTGAGCATGAGAACTAACAATCCTACCCGAAGAAAATCAATCCAGCTGCTACAAAAAGCGCGAAGCACAAAAGGACACTTTTTTTAAATGAAGTTATTCTTCGCTGAAATCTAGGAGACAAAATGACATGGGCTAGTGAAAGCCTTTGAGAAGCCAGTCAACTGATGTGGCTTCTTTCAATAAAAGCAGAAATAAGCATGGGGGACATGGGAAGTTCACACGATGTTTGAAGCTGGGAAAGTCCTTCAGAATGCAACAGAGATGTCTGTTAAGTAGTTCATACTGAACTTATCTAGTTCATATTTCTCTACACACATAATGATACGCATTCATCAGCAGATGTTCTGTTTAATGGTATGACTTTATCGGAGGCTTGTGAGAATAATACAGCTTTCCATCAGCAATGACCAACCGGTCACACTATCAAACATTGAGATCAATAGTTAGCGGGTTAGTGTCAGTCCAGTTTAGTACAACACAATCATGCAAGACACACAGACAAACACAATAATAATTTGTATACAATTGGTGGATGGTGGCTAGCAGTGTATACAAATTGTATACAAATCAAATCCCCAGACATCGTCGAAGCATCTGCACAAGAAGCCGATATGTCAACCTGAGACCGAACACTTCGGTCCAATCAATCGACGGGAAAATCAAAAATTCAATTCAACAATAATAATTGACTAAAACTAACTTGTAAACCATCCCAAAATTTGATCACAGATAAACACATTTCCGATCCACAGATCACATCAGTTGTATATACACAATCAACATCAGAGCTAGGAAATTTGATAGCATTAGTATCACCTAGTTTAACAGTGCTAGATTGATCTTTACGAAAGACAGACGGTTTATTCGACGTATGATACACTGCTATAATTAAACAACGCATATCAACTTCAATATTTCCTAGCGAAATTTTAGAGAAGGAAAAAGAAAGAAAATTAGTAGGCAAAGTTTAGTGATGATGGACAAAATATAATAAATTAGTCATTAGTTTAAAAAATTTAAATCATTATAGTGCTTCAATATGATATTCATAACACTTTATATGACAAGGGTGAGTAGAGGAAACAGTGCAAGATGGAAGTTTAGAAAGAGCCGTCAGTTATGATACATAGACCTAGTTTTCAACATGTCACTTTACATCTCTGTCTGTATTTCTCTCACCCTATTTATGACCTTCGAAAGCATATTGGTTGTTCACTGTTTAATTTATCAATGACATTAGTGCCTCCCAAGGTCATTTTGACATATATATATATATATATATATATATATATATATATATAAGCAAGCGCCGTCATTCTTCTTGACTGCTGTTTTGAAACAGTGGAAGCTATCTTACCAACGCCCAGTCTTTTCCCTAGTCTTTGGGGCCCGGTAGAGTTATTGTTTAGACAAACCAATAAGAGGACGTATTTGCGCAACACATTTCGAACAACCCGATGACCCACCGATTTGTCATTGGAATATATATGAAATTAATAAATAGTTAAGAGGTGAGAAAATAAATTTAGGTCAAGCTAAAAGGATATATTGAACGTCAAAATAACAATGAAGATCACTAAACCAAATAACAGAGATAACAGTACATCTATCCTGGCTGGTACCAAAACATAGTTTACCAATGAAGGTTTAGTGTGATGACGAATCGTTTGATGATGATGAACACATAAACGTGGCTTAAACTTTCTAATTGCTAGGGCTTCAAGAAACTTTAGAAGACGCTCTAAACACGTCTTATAGATAGGCTTAAAAGATATGTAAACGTCAATTTTATGTCCTGTCTCTATAATATGTTTCGCAATAGAGAAGCTAGGTATCCTGTTCTCACCATTCTGTCTGTCTGTTTTCAACAAATAACTTTGCACCGATGTGCAGCGGTTCAATTCGTCACACTTCATGTAGCAAACAAAGCAAGAGAAGAAATGCAAAATTGCGATAGTAGACAGGAATATGAGACAAAAGGAACAGTAATAACGAAGAACAAAACAGTTTCATTGGAAATCATAAGTCACAAGGAATGGATGCATCTGCGCTGTCATTGAGAACGATTTGGAGCCATATCACCTGTTGTTTTCAGCCATCGCCTTTTATCGTCCCGTTCTCACCATTAATGGGTTCTGAGGATTCGATTTGCTTCTGGAGCCATCTGGGAATATGCTCTATTATCGTTGTTGACGCGTGATTAAGACAGATTAGCCAGCAAATTAAGTTAGTATTCGCTCATAGTCTACCAGGTCGTAGTTCCGGTCATAGTAAGTTAGTATTTATTCACGCTCACAATATCTTTTGGAAGATGCTTTACAAGCTGTCCCTCCCCCTGTTCCACTCAAGATAGAGATGTAGTACATATGATCATAAACTAGAAGATATAACATTCCGTTATTATTATTATAATTATTACCGTTATTTATTTTATTTTTACGTTTCCTTAATAATAATAACAAAACTAATGACGACATGCATGTCAGATATGCGCAAGACAACACCAACAATAAGAAATCTAAATCATCAGTAGTAATTCCATACAATGAGGGAACCTCGGAAACCTTACTCAGAATTCTTAACAAGGCAGGAATAAAAGTAACTGGCATTCAAATCAACCACAGACTCAATTAGAAACAAGCTTCGTCGGTTAAACGATCAATCCTGTGGAGCCAATAAAACAAAACAATTTAGTTTATGTAATATCCTGCCTGCAATGATTGTCAGGTCAAATACATAGGTGAAACTAGTAGAACAGGGGCAGTCAGACTAGCCGAACATAAAAGCCTAGCAAAATCTAGATTGGTTGACCCAAATAAGATAAGAAATCTAGAGAATAGTTCAGCTATAGCACTCACCACTTGCAATCACACAACGGTACAATAGGATGGGATAGGATGATAGTTTTAAAATCTAATGTCACAGGGTGGAGGGAGAGTTTGATAACAGAAGCTTTGTTTATCGAATCAACGGCAAATACGTGTAATAGGAATGATTCAACACCTGTCTCAGATGTCTGGAAAATTCTACTACCCCGACGACGACAAATAGGAGAAGACAAAGAAAACAATAAAACTCAAGTTTCAAAGTCGTGTGGTTACAATTGATAATTTTGTTGGAAACGCCATCCAGTAAATAATACTGTTTCACCGTGTGAAACATATGATAAACAAACTAATATGGAATTACTTACTACCACGGTGCCCAAGTTTTAAACATATATTAAATAGACAAAAAGGGTGACATACTAATGTATTTATAGTCAACAGAATTTAGGTTTCATCGGAGTAGTGGGAGAGGAGTCATATTTAATGGTGTGTGAGGTAAATGACTACACAAAATACATACAAACAAATAGCAAAAATGAGGAACACTGAATGTACGTTCAAGCAAGGTCTGACAGATATCAAGTGTAGTGATAAAATAAAGAGATCAAATTGTGAACTGTAATAAAATTCTACACATATCATAAGCTTACTGTAAATTACAAAATGTTGACACATAATAAAGGTAATAATGAAGTGAACGAGGTGAAAAGGAATAGGAAGGCATAATATGACATGAAAATATGGATGAATAAGGTATTTAGAAGACGAATTTCGCGAGACAATATCATTTCTTTGTTTCTTTACAATCGCTTTACAACTAAGAGGGCTCACAAAAATAAAATAAAAGGCATGACAATTACTCAGTTATATAAAACAAAAGTACATACTTATGATCAATCATATTTAAATAGGTCAAGTAGTCCATGGTAGGCGAAGGTTGGAGTCTATTGTGTTTTGTACACACAGTTTAGGCTGTATGTGATTAATCCAAAGTGATTCCATCACCTTTAATAACCTTGAATTAGAGTTATATGAAACAATTGTGGAGCAGTCATTAATATCGATTTTGTGACCTGATATTATTAAGTGCTTTGCAATGGATAATGACGTTGGATTTCTATTCAGATTAATTGCATTGGAATTTTCTGTATATTTTAATAACCATTTTGGAACATGTTCTTTTCGACAACATCGGAACATTCTATTGGTCCTACCTACATAAATGTCACCGCAACTGCAGGTGAACTTGTAGATACAGTTTGAAGTAGAGTCTACAGAATTTCATCCTTTAATCGTAGGTAGAGGGGTCGAAAATGTTCGAGATGTGAGGGAAGGAGATGCGGCGTAGAATGTGCACTTGACGGCTAACCGAAGTCTTTGAGCTGTCAACTGAATAATTTGATCATTCTTGAATGGTAGGTTAATGTCTCCACTGACCTTAGAGTAGGTCAGTGTTAACAAAGAGGATGAGTGTGCTTCTTTTGCACACATAGATCAGGTTTTTTCTTATTAATCTCTACACAGCTTCCGTTATAGCTAAGAGAAATAATCGTTTGCCTTTAGGTAGATTGTAAGGTACTCGATATACAACCGTGATGTGGTGTTCACTATCTACTAGATGCGAGAAAAAAATGACACTATTCACTGATTTGATTGCACTTTTTCCAAACCAAACAGGAACAAGTTCACGAGCGCGTGAAAAGATAAATTCCTCTGAGTTCGATCCATATAACTAGCTCCACATGAGCAGTTGACCTTGGATACACACACTGATATGACCATCTCATGTTCTGATTGACTGCACACTTTTTTTATATACGTTCATTTGACAGTATTAAATAATGAACTATCAATCCATACTATAAATGTACCTCAATGCAGACAGTTTCTGATACAACTTTCACTTTAATGGCTAGTTATTTGTATTTTAATATTCATGGATTTATAACTGTAGAGCCTGAAGAAGAATTTATCGGAAACAAGTATTGGTTCAAAACCAAATATCCAACTACCAACTTCGTCTATAGCAAACACACAAGACTGACATTAAAACAGCTTTAAAGATTACCTATAAAAACTGTCAGGGGAGCATACATAAATATGCTGAGGCTGTAGCTATCCTTAAAGTTAAGCCCCCACACAACGCTGTGTGTACACAAAAGAAACTTATCACTGCTCTTAACCTACGTTGGTAATGCTTATCTGATTATATTACCAAAAAAGTAATGCAAGTTACTATCCTTCCTTTAATTTCACATAAACTGACTGACTGGATTCAGTGCAGAACTTTGCACAGATGTACAGCAGTTCCAGTTGCCACATTCCCTCCTTGTAGCACACAAAGCAAGAGAAGAGAGTAAAGAGAGATGATAAACAGAAATATGAGCCAAAAAGAATAGTAATTTTGGAAGAACAATATAGCTTTATCGAATATGACAAATCACAAAGAGTGAATGCATCTACGCCAGCCATTGAAAAAGATATTCAGCCTTATAACCAATGGCATCAGGCCATTGGTGTTTACCGTCCTGAGAACTCCAACCAGGAAGTTTACACCTTCCTAAATGGCTTAAACTAACTGTTGTAGATTTCATTGACTAATGAAGCCGTATTTTGGTTTGACCACCACTAGCTAGCTGTTTTCCAACCTGATCCTAAGTCAGCTAACACTACCTGTTGTCGAGGAAGGCAATAGCTAGGCGTGCATGCGCAACAAATGGCCTAACCATCTCACAATCAATGTAACGTCACAACCTCGTCGATTGATTTCCCCTCCCTCTCACTTAGCCCTCCACCGATGCCTAACTTCAGTGTTGCTCAACTTATTATGCCACTTCACACAGGAGACAGAATGCAGGCACCTATGATCACACAAACTGATTTGAAAACTGAGTGCGATCACACTGTTTAAAATGTATTGCACAAATATGTCACATCTTCTATAATAACACTATCCAAATCTTTAAATTAAATTTACGATTAGAAAATTAGTTGGCATTTTGAAATGAATACAGTTTGAGAAGTGAAATTTTCACCACGGTTTACTTTAGAAATCAAATTATTCAGATCACAATATTATTTGCAATCTTCTTGGTGTCGTAGGTGATAATCAAGAAGGCAAGCATATTTGCTTAAAATTATATGCTACTGATTGATTGAAATGAGTAGTTGTATACCACTTACATCAAATTCACAAGAGAAGAAGAATTAGATAACAAAATCCCATTTTTAGATGTCTTAGTCAGGAAAACTAACACAGAAAATTTAGAAACACACGTATATGAGAAGTCATCTCACACAGACCAAATACTCAACTACAGTAATAATAACCGATTACCCACAAAAGAAACTGTGTGCAGACATTGTTTAAAGGAGTAGCACTCCAGCGTTGAAAAGAATGGAAGAAAAAATACCTACTAACGGTCTTCAAAAGAATGCATATCCACACAATTTCATCAAAAAAGTATCTGAAATTGAGCCACAACACCAACAAGAAACCATCATCATAGATAACAAGAAAATTCATCCTACCACATATATATAAAAATATCTCTGAAATAACAGCTACAATACGGAAACCGTTTGAAATAGATATAGAACAAAAAATCAGTCAAATCATTTAATTCGATATTGTGCAAACTCAAAGATCCAACAGAAAAAAGAGATAAAATTAAAACCATTTGCAAAATAAATTGTATGAACTGTAATAGACATTACTACATCTGCTAAAGTGGGCGTCCCTTCGAATCAGAATCCAGGAACACAAATCAGCTGTTAAAAGACATGATATATATTCCTGTTTCATATCAATGCATATAGATAATTGTGGACATCAGTTTGATTGGGATAATGTCGAAATTTTAGACAGAGGAAACACCTAAAGCGCCAGGGAATTCCTAGAAGCCTGACACTCCAACGAATATGCGATTAGCAAATATGTTAATATAGACCAAGTACCAATTAATAAAAAATAAATCATGTGACGAGAAAGTTTAAAATCTAAGTCAATAAAGAACGATCAATACATATGTAAAGATGGTTACCGGGAGACGCAATTCTATCACTCGTGGAGAAATTTAAATCATTTCACTTTATGCAAAATATTGCGCTGAAGGGGGTTGTTGTCCAGAAGACAACGAAAACTCCACAACTAAACGAACCAGTTCAAAGAACACTACTAATTGCAAAGCAGTAGTGATGGCGAGCCAGCCAGATCAAGGTGATCTGAACATCAGATGGTCGTTTCATTCGTTTGGTGACGAGGTCATCCGCAGTGCATCTACACTTTGATTCAATTCAGAGCGCGAATCAGTTCAAACAACCACCAAATCTTTTATTTTGTTATAACTGATTTGTCGCGGTTTTAGTCATTACGTGTTCTTCATAGTGCATATAACATTGTATATAAAGGATTGAATGCATTAAATCCTGCTTTATTTACACCTACTGCTTGTTTGTAAAGTAAATACTAATACTTCTGGTCAACTCTAAATATTACAATGAGTAATTTAAAAAGTGTAAAGTATACCTTTGTTATATGAATTTAATAGTGTTTCATCTTGTTCCAAAGCGATTCGATGAACATCAGAAACACTTAATGCAATTCTTGGTTTATATACACAAGTAGTTGTTGTATCGTTAGGTATAACTGCTTTCAACTTGGATATATGACCTAATGAAAAGATACGTGTTGTACGTCCTCCAGACAAGCTCAATACAAAACCATGAGGAATATTGATTCCGATAGGTTTAACAAATCCTGAATTTGGTGGAACTGATGCAAATGGATCATTAACACGTGTAGTAGACACCTTAAAGATACAAAAGAGAAAAAAAATTAACGAATAGAAATTATGAAAATAAGCGAATGAATTATACAATAAATTTACAAGAAAACACCAAACCACACACACACACACGAACACGCACACTCACATATACACATTTACAAAATATGATGAAAGTTAACAGAATAAGAAGCCTGCTGAAAACAGATTTTCGTGAACAATCCTCATCCAGACAAAACATGTGGCGGTTCAGCGAAGATACTTTTTCTCGGTGAATTCATTTTCTTGAGCTGTACACAATAGTATTTATGTACAATTTATTCACAAATGACAGTAGTGACAAAAGTGATAAGTTGTCGTAATTATAGTTGTTAAAGTTAAGATTAGTTAATGCATAAAAGAAGTTGAGTAAGTGTACCAGAGTTACGTAAGACGACAAATAGTTTAATATGAGTAAGTTGTAATCAGGATGCATATAGAAACAAAGGAAAATGTAATAATATATCATTTTTTTCTCTAAATATACGAATGAATATTTTATCAATGGTTGATGACTGAAAAGAAATAAAGTGAAAAATTTCGATGGAGGAAAAATACTGACTAACGCCAGTTCCACCTTCCCGATTGCAAATTACTTACTTGTAAACGATAAAATTCAACAACTTCTCCTTCTTTTAAAATTGACAACATTTCATCTGTTGGACTCCATAAAGTTATAGAAGCGCCTATACAATGGGAAATTTTCAAAGAAATAAGTGTCTATTTCAAAGGTGATTTTCAAAGAAACATTACAGCATCAATTGATACACTAAGTAAGATAAGGAGTGTAAAAAGTTAAGTCACAAAGAGAACACACACAAAGGACACACTGTGAGTTTGAATCTCGAACGAAATTCCCAGACTTAATCTATGAATTACTTGGTGGATGGTGACTAGCAGTGGAATTCAGGATGCGGATTTCGTCCTTTCTGGGACTCGCCAACTGGATGTACCTGCATTCCCCAGAGAGTAATGATGTTCCCAACGGGAAAATCTAAAATTGAATCAAATACTTAATGTGACCCGTTGCACAGGAGGGTAGCTCCTGTGGCTCAAGTGGTCTAGTGGATAACGCTTTAGCGTTTGAAACTATGGTCACTAGGTTTGAGCCTCGTGGGAACATCATTACTCACTGGAGAATGCAGGTACATCCACCTGGCAGACGAGTCCCATCCTCCGATTTACCTCTAGTTGCACGATCAGACATCGTCGGAGCATCTGCACAAAGAGCCGACATGTCAACCTGAGACTGAGCACTTCGGTCCCATCAATCGACGGGAAAATCTCAAATTGAATGAAACAATTCATCTATGAGTGTTTCGTAGAAATCCTCAGTAAATAAAAAATGTAGTAGGACAGTTTAAAGACCAAATTTTCATAAAATAAACTCAAAGCAATCAGCTGACTTGCTTTATTCCTATAATCACAAAAATAATTTATAGCAATAAGCACGAAGGACACATTGAATGAGGATAAAATTCATTTCCAGAACAGATTGGATAACTAAACTTATTTAAGCATAAGAATATGAAGAAGAAAGTCCAACATTTGGGTGGTTTCAGCTGATTTCGGCTCTCTGAACCGAGTTAAGATGGATATGTCATGATGAGCCCATTCACACACGAGTGGAACAACTGTCTCGATCTGCCTAGCAAGCCCTACAGATTGATATGACGATTGGTATTCAACTGTTGATATCAATGAACAGTAGTAATATGTTATAAAGCTTGATATTATGTTTAAGCAAAATGTGCTACAGCAACGTTTGTTAGTAAAATCTGATACTTAAAGGTTATACAACTAATGGAGTCCTTAGAATTCGCATACACAAAAGTACCTTACAGAACACACTTTGCCGTGTTATTTTAAAAGAGAAAACCTCGCTGTCAATGGAAATGTTAGCTGACATAGGGTCGGTGAGGTTAGAAAAGAGGTCAAAAGTGGTCAAAACAAAACATGGATACAGAGGTCAATGAAATCTACAACAGTGAGTTCAAGCCAACCATGTAGGTAGGTATAGATTTACTGACTGGTTGAGGTCCTCGGGATGGTAAAAACCAAATGAAGGCTGGAGACAATTGGTGATATGGCTGAAAATCGTTCTCAATAGCTGACGCAGATGTATCTACTCCTTGTGACTTGCAATGCTCAATAAAACTATGTTGTTCTTCGATATTACTATTCTTTTTGCCTAATATCTCTGTTTAATGTTTCTATTTTGCATTTCTTTTTACTTTCGTGTCTGGAGTATGGTGACTTGAACTTCTGCACATCGGTGAAAAGTTCTACATTGTAACTAGTCAGTCAATCAGTTATGTGTACTAGTCCACTTATTCCTGTGAAGCTAACGATAAATAAGTTTCACTATAAAGGCATTTCCAAGATGTGACTGTGAAATTTTGTTAGTATGGCCTCTGAAGAGGTAATGTAGCTGAACTCAGGCAAATACAATTTTCTTTTTGATGTTGTTATGTTCTGTGAGTTGGATGCTTTAATTAAGGAGTTTCTAATTCTTTCTAGACAATATTATCAGCGGTCACATTAAAATGATGTGAAGACGACACATTAACATCACTTTTGTTAAAATATCCTTGCTACTCTCATAAAGCGATTCAGACTTCTCCACTACTATGATTATAGTTGTTGTTGTTGTTGTTGTTGTTGCAGAGTAAACTTTCAGGTGAGAGTCATTACGGTTTTACGCAGTTCAATATACTCTCGCGTCAATAATCAATTGACTCCCCATTCACAATTATGCATGACATTTTCTAACTATTTTCTATATAAACAGATTTGATGGAAAGTTACGAAAAGACTTATCTTTGCTGGTTCACATCTTTATAGTTGAAAAGTAAGTAAGCAGAAGATGATATTATTCGAAAAGTGATTTCGGAAAGTTGAATCTTATCACAAACTAAAATTCAGTTAAAAAAGGATCTTTGAAAACTGGGGAGTAATGGACAGTTGTATCGCAGTATTTCTTAACTATTTGCTGATCTGCTCAGCATGACCCCATTGGAGGTTAAACCCAGTAACCTTAAGGTCCCAAGACAACAAACTTACCAATCAACTAGTGGAATGAAACCCAAAGGCACAGGAATTCTTACTTAGGCTAATTCCTTACAAACCATAGCTTGAAAGGTAATCCACTGGTGATTAGTGTTCGACTACTGCAAGATGAACTTCCTAGATTCCTAATGATAAGTTATGATCACTGAGATCCACCAAGTAGCATATCAGAACAAGCATTAGTCAATGAAACTGATTGGTGCTGGTTCCATTTATTGCGAGTTGTCGGAAGTTAACATTCATAGGCCATTGAGTCCTGCCCAAGTTTCTCGCTTTGAAAGCAAAGGGTCCCGGGTGCCACCCCACTAAAGTCTCAAAATACAACAAGTCAGCTGTCCAGTACTCCTTGGTTTTCAATGACCCTCCAACTGATCTCAATTCGTGATGAGTTCCAATGTGAGATCAATCAAATCCCTACAGATCAACACTTGAAAAACTGATTTCCATTCTAAGCAGAAACTCTGACTCATTCAGTAACAACGTAGAACTGGGGTGAGGTAAAGCAGAACTAAAGATATATCGAATGCTAATATGGGAAGGTATTTCCGAGCTTTGATAAAGGATCAACTTTAAGGCATTATTTGCCTCTTAACTAAGCTAATGCTGATTACATTAACAAGTCCGGTAATAAAGAATCGAGAAACAGTTTAAACGCGTCTGCATAATATTAAACAATCTCCAGACTCAAAAATAGTTTAGTCAGTGGTAATTTTTCGACATGATCCTAACAACAAACAATATAAAAAAACAACAGGTGAAGAAATATATATATATATATTTTAATTGTATATGGATAATTTATAGGTAAACCAGTGTAACTTACCGTAATTACTGGCGATATCTTTTGGATGAAGACCTAAAACTCTTAAACGCAGAAGAGGTGTGACCTAGAGTTTAAAAGAAATAAGGTAACCGTCAATTAATTTAATTTACTACTGAGTATTGATATTAGTATACAAACAGATGAAAAATCAAAAAAAAAAGAGCTCGGAATAGATACAAGCGATGGAATTTAGAACTCTAACCTGTCTAGATGGGACACTTTCAGCTACTGCATCATGAATAACAGACTCTTTATAACGTTGTATAGCATCACGTTGTAGAACGGTCAGATTTGATTCCGCCTCAGCTGAGTCTGGAGCATTTAGAATCATGTGGAGTAATGCTTCTCCATCATTTCCCAAAGCGATGAGTTGTTCACGTGTAGGCTGAATTCGACGTTTACCTAAGGTACAGAACAGAACACAAACAGCATATTGAATAATCAAATCACAAATTAAGTTAGCTACGACACAGCTGCATAGAATATCATTCGAAGATATTTCAAAAATCACCACTAACGAAGTTAATATTAACAAGGGACAGTCACGAATAGAAGAGAAAGCATATAATTCATGGAAAATTCCCATTGGGACTTGGAAAAAAATCAAAACGAGTGATTCTGTGAAGAATCTCTGTTCCACGAATTTATCATCAAGCCGTACAATCATATATATATATATATATATATATATATATATATATATATATATATATATATATGATTGTTTGTTCAACCACTCCAATACTCATGGTCTTATTCCATCTTAGCCAAAGTATAATAATCCCAAACCATACTCTGGCCCTACTCATTTCTCGTTTTAGTTATTCAACTTCAATATTCTTCTCCCATTGTGCTGATTGTTATTGTGCACCATCTACAATGGAAAGTCCTCCACTACCTAACTTACTTTAGCTGGTGTTCATCAAGGTGTTGTTCTTTCTCCTTTCCTGTTTTCTTTTTTCTTACATGATTTGCCTCACTGTGATGTAGCCCCTTTTGTTAAGTATGCCGATGACCTCTCGGTTTCTATGCCTGTCAACTCTCAGTCAGATTGTTCCAAATTAAATAACTTCCTGTCGGAAATTAGTCAGTGGTCCTCTTCAAACGGTCTTAGGCTTAATCCGTCTAAATGTTAGGTACTCAATTTCACTTTCAGACGAAAACGTAACCTACAAAAACTAGCTAGCTCACATGGTCCCACTATCATTGACGGCACAGAGGTTGAAAATACATCTAATGTCAAGTACCTTGGACTGAGTATTTCCTCGGATCCTTCCTGGTCCTCCCACATCTTGCTAGTTACTAGAAAGATGTTTCGCTTAACGTTCTACGTTAGAAAGTTAAGGCAGTCTGGCTTGAAGCAGTCTTTGCTTTCTCAGTTTGTCGATTCCTGTATTCTACCCGTCCCCCTTTACTGCTCCCCATTAATCTTTCCTGGACTACTTAAGAAAGACTTTGCTTTGCTGAGAAGGGCACTAAAAGCCGTTAGTAGGGCAAGTGGGATATCGTTAAACCAAGTGGTTAACACTATTGTGGCTAGACATATAATGTCATGTAAGAAACTAGCGAATACTATATTGTCAGACCCCGAGCATCCTCTCTATACTCAGCTGTCTCCTTGCATTTCATCTGGTAGAACAAGAAGCAGCTATAGGAGACTATATGCTAGGACTACCAAAAAACAAAAACTCCACAATACCATATCTGGCACAGCTGTTATGTGATGAGAAATCCATTAGGTATGACACGATCAACTTACTGCGGCACTCTAACAAATAGTCCCATTAGTTTTGCTTTCCTTTCTTCGTTATTATTAGACTGTTGTTCACATCTTCTATAACACACTAATTTTTATATTTCATATCCTGTGGTGCATTGTTTAAAGTGTAAACGCAACGCTGTTCTTTTTTATTTCTTTTTATTTATCTATTTGTTGTTGTTGTTTTTTGATTTTAAAATCTTATAAAATGTATGAGGTAATTAGATGCAATATTGTAAAATGCACGCTGGAAATTCCATACCTGTACCACAAATACCGTTTGAATACCGTTATTTGAAGAGAGAAAAAACGAACATAAATGCAGGATAATACGAACTCGTTTTGTTTCGTGGACTCTTCAACCGCGTACATCTTAAATAAATTAATTATACGTTATAAAATTTCTGAACATACTTTTTACAATGATTTCAAGTTTTTTTTCTTTCTTTGCTTATTATTACAATTATTATTATTATTATTATTCATAATTTATACCCTTGTTTCAAACATTCTCTCAATACAATCGTATTTCCCATTTATACTATCTGGACTTATTATTAATGATATTATTTCTTTTTTCGATATATACTTCCACATGTTTCAGTTCACACATTGGTTAGTTCATGATGAACCTCTCATTGCATGCAGTATTACTATCTCCTCTTTAATACACACCACTTTGTACTAGCCACTCACTCACCTGACACCTTTTATAACCTTGATCTGACTCGTCAATTTTCCTACCCCACAACTCTGCGAACCTATTATGACTAATCATCACCATTGTCTCGTATTTCACAATATTTTGTAATCGATTTCAGCACAGCACGATGTTTGTCACACAAAGACTACTATTTATTTCAACACCCTATACGTACTAATCTGTTATTCTACGTTAAAAAATGTATCCGCTGCATGCCTAACTGGCTATCATTATTGTAACGACAACAAAATATTATATTTTATGACTGTAAGAACCTGAAGAGGAGAAATGATCGAAAAGGATGGATATTCTTCGTTCAGATTGAAAGTATAGGCGACATAATTTCAAAGATGATGTAAGCAGACAATTACTTAGTGTTAAAGGAAAGTGTGACAAATCATATCACCTTCACTTTCTCTCACTACCCTGCTAACCATAATTGTTTAGTCGTGTGCTTTTGTGGTTATTCTGTTGCATAATATCCCATTCAATCTTGATTTTGATATTCACTCACTGAGTTGAACTCACTATTCAAGTTCCAAATCTACTAAATTAAATTATTTAATCCATTTTAAATGTTAATTCACCATACACTCCCACCCTCCTGAACTCTCCACCACAATATGTATAAGTTAACTCTGTTGTTCCATCTTGTGTTTTGTCTCTAGTCCATCTCGGTTTCCAAGAGAAATCTGAATCCCACCCTTCCGTCTAATTACTATGTAAATAGTTACTCTTTTAACACTAAATAATTGTCTACTTACATCATCTTTGAAATTATGTTGCTTATACTTTCTATCCATAACGTGAAATCACTGTAAAAGAGTATGTTCAGAAATTTTGTAATATATTATAACTGATTTATTTAGGATGTACGCAATTGAAGAGAATCCACGAAAGAAAATGAGTTCGTATTATCCTGCAAATATGCTTGTTCTTTCTTTATTCCAACTAATAAAAGGGAATCGGCTGTATGTTACTGTTAATTTCACTTTGAACAATTTCCGGTTTCATCTTACTTGTCACCTTTATTTATTTAATTCAGTTAGTGGGCAAATTTAAAACGTTTCAAATCCCTATAAACTAACACTTGAAAATTAGTCTGATGCTGTCTAGTGACTGACCACAGGAAGGAGTTGCCTAGAGTTCTAATGAGAAGTTTTTACCAGTGGGGTTCACCATACCGGGATCTAGGACAAACACTAGCCGATGATACTGGCTGTTGGTCGCGCTAAAATCAGGAATCGGTAGAAGTTAAAATTCATGGGCCATTGAGTCGAGTCCCAGTTTTCTGAACGGTCTACGAGTTTTCTTCGTAACCAGAAACTCTTAGGTTCGAACCCTGGTGGGTGGGTACTGTCAACGAGTCCCAAACTAGGAGGAGGTAGTTGCTCAGTACTTTAGTTCTGGTTTTCAGTGGTTCTCTAACTCATATAAATCCGTGGTCAAACTTGAAAAACAAATCAGATCCTTACAAACGAACTCTTGATGATTGAATATAATTTCTGCAATATTGTCTTATCATAACTGTAACCCTGTTGCGTCACGTTCTAATTGCTTACTAGTCTCATTATTTCTAGAACCCTTTGAGATTTATGCATTTCATGAACTACTTTATAAAGTAAGTAATCAATTATTTTTTTTATGTAGAAAAAATCCCCATTTAAACATTTACAAAACAGAAAGATTGGGCGAAGAAATATTCACTTTTCAATTAGATCCTTATCTCTGGTTATACTCTATTATTATTGAAAAGTGAATAATGCTTAAGGATTCGGATTACGGGAGAAATGAGACAAAAGTTATCCCACAATTTCGAACTGTTGCTAGGGGAACGGAACTTCGTAATTATATTAGACAAGATGGTGCAAAGCATCAGTTGTCCAAATCGTTTAATATACAAATTCTTAAATGCATAGATTCACGGATCACTGTTTATCTCTGTTCCCAAAGAATTCACAAACGTATACTTCTAAACATTTCCATGATTGAATCTAAACTGAACCAGTGAAGAAAATGGATAAGCGTAAGTAATATTGGATATAGTGCAAATGTCTACTATTACAAAAGTTGTTAGATCATATTATCAACACATCGAAAGAAACAGACTGATTGAATTTCAATGTAGAACTCTGAACAGCAGTGTAGCAGTTCAAGTTGACACAGTCTATATGGCACGAAAACTTTAGAGAAAAGCAAAAAAAAAAGAAACATTCGAAAGAACTATGATGCGGAGAAATGTATGGGGGACAGAATAAGTAACATGGATAGACTGCCCGTCTGTCTGTTTTCCACATAGACCTTTGCACCGATGTGCAGCAGTTCAAGTCGCCACTCTCCATGTAGCACACAAAGCAAGAGAAGAAAGTACAAGAAAAACATAATAGACACAGTAAACAGAGGTGTGAGACAAAGGAATAGTGATAACGAAAAACAATATAGTTTCATTGGAAATCATAAGTCACAAGAAGTGGATGCATTTGCGCTGTCAGTGAGAAATATTTTGAGTCATATCACCAAATGTTTCCAGCGATTGGTTTTTACCGTCTAGAGGACACCAACCAGGTCTACACTTTCCTACATGGCTTACACTAACTGTTGTGAATTTCATTGACTGGTGCCATGTTTCGGTTTGACCGCCGCTAGCTCTTTTCCAGCCTGATCCTAACATTGCCCGTCAAGGAAGGCGATGATTAGGGATACGCAACACATGTCCTAACCATCTCAGTCGATGTAACTTCACAGTCTCGTCGATTGATTTCCCCTCCCACCTACCTAGCGCTGGACGCCTAACCTCAATATTGCTCACCACTTCACACGGGAGGTAGAGCGCAGGCACCTATGATCAAAAACATGAGGAACCTACACCTCTCTGTGTGTTGGTAAAATCAACAGTCATACACTTCATGGTTTGGACAGCCTCAGACCCTTTCCAACTTAATTCTATGTCAGCTAACATTGTTCAACGAAGAAGCTGATGTACCTGCATGCATTACGCGTGTCCTAACCATTTGAAACCACGTAGGTCTACAACTTGATCGATAGACAGATGTTAGAAAAAAATAGATTCAGAGAAATGAAGATAATAAAATTAGCAACGGAAAAGCAGTCCCAAAAGACTTAAAAATGTGATGAAAAGAATGTAAAAGTGAAGAGATATGAAAATTTAGATGTGGCTGAACCACGATTGAGGCTGACAAAATATAGTCCATTATATGCCAAATCCCCTGAAGTTTTTCATTTCACTGTTTTTAGTTGGCTTACAATGTGAATGAAGAAAACTCATACTCAGCAACACACAGAGTAATCTAACAATTAAAGACTTCTTCAAATGACTGTACTCAACCTAAGCTCACCTTAATTAATACCAGTGGCGAACCACCTCAGTCTACTACAGTTTATAACCTAATCAACCAGTACACAAGATTATTGCAAGCCTAACACAAAACCATTGCTCAAATTCACAATTCGCAAACAAATTAGAGAGCAGTTGGCAACGTACACAGTTCCAGGGTCGACATTTTCACCACAGTTTCCTTTAGAAAACAAGCTAATCAGATCACAATATTATTTGTGATCTGCTTGTTACCAGAAACTGTCGTCAACAGAGCAGACTTATTTTTGCACAAAACTGTTTACTACTTATTGATTGAAATGAGTAGTTGTATACTACTCACATCAAACAGTACTGCTTGCTAGCCTAATTGAAATTCTTTATTTATTTTATTTTTTATTTTTTATTTACAGCTTGATTCCACACTGTATTTTTGGTACAAGTATGGAATTTTCAGCATGGATATCGGTAGCCCAAGTTTTTCAGGCCGGCCATAGATATCAGGTGTGCGCCGGCGTGGGCTCGAACCCCGGACCATGTGCATGATCGGCGAGAGTCCTAACCACTGTGCCACCGACGCACCACACCAGACCGCTGTTTCTCTCGTTTGGAGCTGAGCCCATCAATCGTGACATAGGTATAACTCAGCTCAAAGAGCAGAATCAGTTGAAACCACTCGATTTCTGGCGAACTGGTGACATCATAAAAGAAATTCATAATTCGTAAATTCGACTCTTTAAGCTGAGTCTAACCAGGGGCAGCGCTGATGAGTTCAACGCTAAAAGGGCGAAACAGCCGTCCAGTGTTTAGGTCACCTATCTGGCTAGCAAACCCAACTGATTAATACGAGTGTTACATAACTATTCATCTTAATTAATCAGTAGTACATAGTTTGACGTAAAAATATTATCCGCTTTAGTGAGTTGAGATATACTGTTATTACACAGCCAAATGCAGCTGAACTCCAAGGTGTGAGTCATAGATGCAAAAATGGTTAGATTTAAACAACATAATAGGTAGTAGGTTAAGGGTAATAATAATAATTTTTTTTAAATTACCTGGATCACTGAATACAAGTTTGTCTAGAGCGGTATCTATCACTTGACGCCTTAAAATTTCATGTGCTCTAACTTCTGCCTCTTCAGCTCGTTCACTGCGGAAAATTCGACGTCGTCGAAACTTGCCAAGTGATTCATCTGTACCAGAATTTGTGCGTGATAAGGTAGTTGAAGCATCTGTATTCTGTTCTGAAATTTCTATTGTTTCCATATACTGTAAGGAATATCGACGCTACATACGAAAAAATACACATTTTTTTCATTTAGAAAAATTAAAACTAAGAATAATGTAATTACTGGAAAGTTAATAAAACTTTGATTCAACTTTTAAGACAAAAGGATGAGATAAAGTGCGGAGTACATTGAAATCGAAACGCACAAAAAGTTAAAACTTAGCTATCCACAATGCAATTCTCGCGCACCATGATATGAGAAACACCCATTGTGCAAGGACTGATGATTGATACTACCCAGCAACCTTTGAAGCCAACATCAATTAATTGAAAGTCGACTGTTTAAGCCAATACCCCTGTAAACAACTTCGTTAGACTAAGGGTGGATAGACTTCGGTTTCCCTCTTGAAATGCTATCATATGGCCACGAGTTCATAGCCCCTTCTAGACAAGTCCAATTTGCTGCCTTCACGTGACATGGGTGTTCCTCACAGAAGTGAAAGAACGAATGAGAACGTGTGGCGCTAAAAACTGGACTGGTAGACATACTGGTATACCTAGAGGAGTTGGAAAACTCTGATTTCAAACCTAGTGTACATGGGCTTCAGAATTCGAACAACCACCTGTTTCAGTCTGAGTGTCCGGGCAATCTCCTAGCCTTCTCATAAAATATGAGATTCTATGTGGCATATCTCCTGTTGTAATAATAATGCTGTTTGAACCGAAGGGCCACATCTTCAAAACGTCACAACAAAAGTACATTATTTTTCAACATACTGAGATAACAAAAAGCTTAGGTAAATAAATATTGTGGGGTCTAGTGAGAACCAAAACACTGTATAAAAAATAATGACAAGCCTTATTTTGAACACTTTTGTACGAAGACTTCTGTTTAAGAATTTAAACTTTTTGGTTTCAGTCACTATAACAGTTAACTAGAATGAGTAGAAATTTAATGGCGATATAATTAGTTACAATGGTGGCAGCTGTGGTCCATTTCTGTCTAAAAACTCTAACTTCAAACCGTTAAGTCACAGATGTCGAACCTTGCTCCACCTAACGAGATTTGGGCGATCAGACAGTTACTCTAGCCCTTATTACCCAACTGCATGCAAGCCCAAGTGGTCATTGAGTAACACCCACACATGCACACACGCAGTGAGACACGTAAGTCTAGATACTATATTTTCCTAGATGCACGTAATATGTTTGTTTTACTTCTTAACTGTGTTTGGGACAAATTAAACTTTGAGTACCAGTGGAATGCCACCGCACCAATGACTTTGAAACACCCAGTGACTAAGTTAGTGAACCCTGGTAAATACTACTTAGAATATGCAGATGACATAGTCCTGTTAGGGGAGGATGCTGACAAAATCCAGCAGAGTCTTCTGAACACCTTGAGCAGCAATCTTCGTATGTTTGGTATGCGATTCGCCCCTACAAAATGTAAGATGCTACTACAGGACTGGACTACGTCAACTCCTAACTTAGTGATAGGGAGTGAAGTGGTAGAAGTTGTATTAGCACCAACGGACTGATTGGCGATGAAATCTCAGCACGGATCCGAAAAGCTCGAGCTGCTTTCGCTGACTTACACCATCTCTGGCGTAGGCGTGACATCCAGTTATCAACCAAGGGACGTATGCACTGCTCAGTAGTTCGCTCCGTTCTTCTCTATGGCTCTGAAACATGGCCAATACGCATTGAAGACATGAAAAGGTTGACTGCTTTCGATCATAGATGTCTGCGATCTCTGTCTCACGTTAGGTGGTTTAATAAGGTAAGTAATGTTGACGTTAGGCGTAGAGTGTTGGGCAAAGAGGGAAAATCAATCGACGAGGCTATAAAGTTACACAGATTGAGATGGCTAGGTCACGTGCTGCGCATGCCTAACCACCGCCTCCCCCGAAGGGCATTGCTAGCTGATATAGGTGCAGGTTGGAAAAGAGCCAGTGGTGGCCAAACAAAAACATGGCATCAATCCACCAAATCCTTGGCAGTTAAACTGAGTCAGGTAGGTTGGGAGATGCAGACTTCCGGGTTGGGGCCCTCGGGACTCTAAGAATCAATGGCTGGAGACAATAGGTGACATGGCTCAAAATCGTTGTCAATGGCTAGCGCAGATGTATTCAGTCTCTGTAATCTTTCATATTCCTTTCTACCATTACCCATTCTGTTTCACTCTTATACTTGTCAGACTGTATTGATTCTCTTCACTCATCTTCTTGTCTACCTTTGTGTGCTATTTGGAACGTGGCAACTCGAACTGGTGCACTTCGGTGCCAAGTTCTATGTTGAATCCAGACAGACAGACAGGTAAATAATACTGCAATCACAAATAAATTATGCTTAATGAAGTGTTGTGTTATTAAATGCTTCGAGGATAGGCAACACCAGGCAACTCTTTGGACTCATCAGGGAAACGGATGGGAGAAGACAAATCATTAGTGAGACAATCTCGGAAAAAAATGGCACTATAATTAGCTCACAGGATAGACGACTGGATCGTTGGAAAGAGCATTATGAGGAGCAGTTTAATTTGCCCACAGCCACGCTCAACCTTCCGAGCATCCAACACCTCCCTGAATGGGATATAGATACAGGTCCTCCGTCACTAACTGAGGTTACTAAAGCTGTCACCAATCTGAAACTAGGCAAAGCAGCGGGACCTGATGGAATGACTCCAGAGGTATTTAGGTACGGTGGAGACAGCTTACTGTCCGGATTAACTGAGGTACTAGGCAACGTTTGGGAATCAGAAGAAGTCCCATCGGGTTGGTGTAAGTCACTGATTATCCCCATATACAAGAAGGGAGACAAGTCTTCCTGTGATAATCACAGAGGGATTAGCTTGACTAATATAGTATCTAAAGTCTTAGGCTCAATAATCATGCGTAGACTGAGTGGTGCTCGGGAAGCACAAACACGAGAGAGCCAGGCAGGCTTTAGACCAGGAAGAGGGTGTATTGATCATATCTTCACCCTCCGACAGATTCTAGAACATAGGCATTCCTACCGGCGTCCAACAGTCATTATATTTCTTGACCTAAAGGCAGCATTCGACTCTGTCGATCGGGAAGTTCTCTGGAGATGCTTGGCTGTCAAGGGAATTCCGAGAAAATATATTGCACTGATTAAGGCACTCTATTCGTACTCATACAGCCAGGTGAGGGCTTACGGCGAGCTGTCATCTGAACTGGTGACGACCAGTGGTGTCCGTCAAGGATGCCCATTATCTCCTTTTCTATTCAACTTCATCATAGATGTGTTAATGGACTTAACCCTAGGTGACTTCAGCGATTCAGGGATTGACTTGCTACCTGGGAATAATCTCGTTGACTTGGAATATGCAGACGATATAGTCCTTCTAGGCGAAGACGCTGACGAAATGCAGAGTCTTCTAAACACCTTGAACAGCAATCTACGAATGTTTGGCATGCGATTCGCTCCCGCCAAATGCAAGATGATGTTACAGGACTGGACTACACTGGCTCCTAGTTTAGAAATAGGAAGTGAAGTGGTAGAGCACGTTGACCGCTTCACTTATTTGGGAAGTACCATCAGCCCCAACGGGCTGATCTCTGACGAAATCTCAGCACGAATACAAGGGGCTCGTTTCGCATTTGTTAGTTTACGCCGACTCTGGCGTAGACGAGATGTTCGACTATCGACCAAAGGGCGGGTGTACTGCTCATCAGTCCGCTCCGTCCTCCTTTATGGTTGTGAGACCTGGCCACTGAGAGTGGAAGACATGAAAAGACTAGCTGTCTTTGATCATAGGTGCCTGCGTTCTATATCCCGTGTAAAGTGGCATAATAAGGTGAGCAACATGGAGGTTAGGCGTAGAGTTCTAGGTAAACAGGGGAAATCAATCGACGAAGTCGTGAAGCTACATCGACTGAGATGGTTAGGACATGTGTTACGTATGCCAAGCCATCGCCTCCCTCGACGAGCAATGTTAGCGGATATAGGGTCAGGCTGGAAAAAAGCTAGCGGCGGTCAAACAAAAACTTGGCATCAGTCAATGAAATCCACAACAGTTGGTCTTAGCCACGTAGGAAGGTGTAGACTTCCAGGCTGGGGTCCTCGGGACGGCAAAAATCTATGGTTGGAAACAATTGGTGACATGGCTCAAAATCGTTCTCAGTGGCGCAGATGCATCCACTCCCTGTGACTTATGATCTCCAATGAAACTGTTTTGTATTTCTTTATTACTCCTTTGTCTCACACCTCTGCTCACTGTTTCTATTATGCTTTTCTTGTACTTTCTTCTCTTGCTTCGCGTGCTACACGGAATGTGGCGACTTGAACTTCCGCACATTTGTGCAAAGTTCTATGTCGAAAACAGACAGAGTTATTAAATGGGATATCTGGCATCTTTCAGCTTAGGTTTTGGTTGAGATTAACGTAAGGTTTAGACTAAGGACAGTTTAGGGTTAGGTTGAGATAATACGGATGGGGTTAAGGAAAGACTAAGGCTATTGTTAGGGTTAGAAGACCTAGATAATTACGTTTATTGAATGTGGCTGAATTACTCTGTTGATACTCCGATCCAGAACTGAGAGGTATTTTTGTCATAAGTCGGAGAGAGGTATCTTGGTATAACAGTTTCATGCCTTTTAATTTATTATTTTCATGAAAATACTTATTTTCTACACAAAAATCGCCTTTATCATGCTGGTTGGTGCGTTCAAGGTCATTTGTCCGTTGGTACTTACTTACCGGTGCTTAAAGTTTGCCTTTGACTGAGTTTTCTTCGTTCAGTCTTCAGTTTTTCACTCAGGTTAAAAGCCAATTCTTACTCTGATATGAAGGATAACGAATTTAGACTACTAGAGGGAGTTAATGTTTGCTCCTATCTCAATATTATACTAGTCACCTTCCGGCGAAATGAATTTCACAATCTTTCCCATGGAGCAGCACATGTAGGTATACTTCTTTTGACAGATCACATAGTAGACAACATATCACAGAACAATTCTGTACAAATTTAGTAATAATATCCTCTGTTCGTTAAACAGCATTGGAGTGGCACACTTTGAAGGAAGCACAGGTA